GGAGCCCTAGCCGGTTTGGCTCAGCGGTTAGAGCATTGACCTGCGGTCCAGAGAGACCTGGGTTCGGTTCCCGCTGGGGGCACGTACCTCGGTTGTGGTTTGTCCCCGGCCCTGGTTGGTCGTGTGGGTGGTGGCCACTCGATATGTCCCTTTCACGTCGATGTTTCTCTCTCTCTCTCTTCCTCTCTCTCCCTCCCACTCTATCTGAACAAAAAATGGAAAAATGTCCTCGGGTGAGGATTAAAAAAAAAAAAGGTAAGGAGAGGTGCCTCAAAAATCGGGAGTTTTGTGTCTTTTTATGTATTTTTTAATTAATTAATTAATTTATTTATTTTAAATCTTCACCGGAGGATATTTTTACATTTATCTTCAGACAGCGTGGGGCAGGGGGTGGAGAGAGAAAGAGAGAGAGAGAGGGAGAGAGAGAGGGAGAGAGGGAGGGAGGGAGAGACATTGATGTGAGAGAGACACATTGACTGGTTGCCACCTGCATGACCCCAACTGAGGGGACGAATTGCAACCAAAGTACATGCCCTTGGCCGGAATGGAACCAGGGATTCTTTGGTCCACAGGCCGATGCTCTAACCGTTGAGCCAAACCAACCAGGGCTCTTTTTCTTTTTAAGAGATTTTTCAAAAATGTTTTTTTAGGCCCGGCCAGTGTGGCTCAGTGGTTGAGCACCGAACTATGCATCAAGAGGTCGCAGGTTTGATTCCCGATCAGGGCACATGCCCAGGTTGTGGGCCAAATCCTCAGTGCAGGGCATGCAGGAGGCAGCCAATTGATGTTCTCTCTCATTGATATTTCTATCTCTCTCTCCTTCTCCCTTCCTCTCTCTGTAAATTCAATAAAGAAAAAAAAGATAAAAAGAATAAAATAGCCCTGGCCAGTTTGGCTCAGCGGTTGGAGCGTCGGCCTGCGGTACAGAGAGACCCGGGTTCGGTTCCTGCTAAGGGCGCGTACCTTGGTTGCAGTTTGTCCCCGGCCCTGGTTGGTCGTGCGGGTGGCAGCCACTCGATGTGTCCCTTCACGTCGATGTTTCTCTCTCTCTCTCCCTCCCGCTCTATCTGAACAAAAAATGGAAAAATGTCCTCGGGTGAGGATAAAAAATAATAATAATAATAATAATAATAATAAAAAAAAAAAGAATAAAATAAATTAAAATGTTTTTTTTTAGTTGATTTTAGAGAGGGAGGGACGGGGAGAGAGAGTAAGAAACATCAATTGGCTGCCTCCTGCATGCCCCCTTCTGGAGATCAAGCCTACAACCTGGGCATGTGCCCTGATTGGGAATTGAACCCATGACCTCTTGGTGCATGGGATGATGCTCAATTAATTGAGCCACACGGGCCAGACTTGTATCTTTTTCTGAAATGTGATTACTACTATAGTAAGACAGAAGTATTATTCCTTAGAAAACCAATTAGCAGTCTCCTCCAAGGTTGCTGCCCAACATGGAATTAGATTATGGTGCTGTCTCCTAGCAGAAGCTCCCTGGTGGTGAGGATGCTGAGAATCAGACTAATCCTTTGGGAAGATAATATGGAATTTGGCATTCTCACTTCTGCAGCATAGTGTGTGCATACCCTCTGTTTTAATGAGTGGTTAAGAGTTGAGAAAACATTCTTAACCTGCACCCCCTTTTCCACAGCACAAATAAATTTATTACTACCAATATATTTTAAACTTTGATTTTTTAATTACATTGTGTTGTCTATTTTAATTTTAATTGACATATACGTAGATACTAGGTGTACAAATCTATGAGTTTTAACAATTGTATACACATGTGTAACTACCACTCCAATTAAGATACAGAACATTTTCATCACCCCAAAAGTTCCCTTGTGCCTTTCCAATCTTACCCACTGCAGCCCATCCCTAGGCAACCACTATTCTGATTTTTATCACTATAGATTAGATACACCTGTTTTGAATTTATATAAATGGAGTCATGTACGATGTACTTGTTTTGTGTCTGGATTCTTTCACCGAAGACACTGAGATATTAAATCACTCATTTGTGTTGTTGCATGTAAGAGTAGTTCACTCATTTTCTTTTGATTTTTAAATCAATGTTACTGAGAAATATAATTTATATACAATAAAATTTTAAATACAGTCATACCTCAGAGATATTGTGGGTTCAGTTCCAGACCTCCATAATAAAGTGAGTATCTTAATAAATCGAGTTGTAATCTTTTTTGCTGGTGGAGGGTCTTGCCTTCAGTTTGTAAAAATTGCAACACCTGCAAAGGACAATAAAGTGAAGCACAATAAATGAAAGTGTACAGTTCTATGAGTTTGAACAAATTCATACATCTATGTAACCCAATCAAGATCTAGAACATTTCTATTACCCCAGGAAGTTCCCTTGTCTCCTGCCCAACCTTCCCCTTCCAGAGGTAACCACTCTTCTAATGATTATCATTATAGATTTTAGATTTTACTTTTTTCTATTCTTGAATCTCATATAAATGGGTCATACAGTACACATCTCTTGTGTCTGGCATCTTTCCTTCAATATAAAGTCTGTAAGATTAATCTATTTCATAATGTGCATCAGTAGTTTTTGTTTTTTTTTTATCCTCACCTGAGGATATTTTCCCATTTTTTTTGGTACAGATAGAATGGGAGGGAGAGAGAGGAAGGGAGAGAGAGTGAGAAACATCGACGTGAAGGGACACATCGAGTGGTTGCCACCCGCACGACCAACCTGGGCCGGGGACAAACTGCAACCGAAGTACGTGCCCTTAGCGGGAACCGAACCCGGGTCTCTCCAGACCGCAGGCCGACGCTCTAACCGCTGAGCCAAACTGGCCAGGGCTGCATCAGTAGTTTGTTCCTTTTTATTTCAGTAGTATTCCATTGAATAAATGTATATAATTTGTTCGTCCGTTCTCCTGTTGATGGACATTTGGGTTGTTTCCAGTTTGGGACTATTGTGAATAAATTTGCTATGAACATTTCTGTACAAGTCTTTTTGTGGACATATGTTTCATTTTTCTTGGGTAAAAACTAGAAGTAGAATTGCAGGTATATGTTTAGCTTGAGAAACTGCCAGTTATACAAAACCACTGTGCCATTTTAAATTCTCTCTAGAAGCCTATGAGAGTTCCAGTTGCTCCTGACAAAGTTTCTTTGCTTGACCAAACTTTAGCCAGGCTACTGAACCTTCTCCTAGGCCCATCTTTACACTTCCTTATACAATCCAATTTTAGCAAGACTCCCCTCACCCCCTTGATATCTGACTACCCTCATTATCTGATCAGTTTCTTTTTTTTTTTTTTATCCTCACCCAAGGATATTTTTCTATTTATCTTCAGGTAGAGAGAGAGGGAGAGAAAGGGAGAGAGAGAAACATTGACATGAGAGGGACACATCAACTGGTTGCCTCCTGCACGACCCTGACCAGGGCCGGGGATGAACCGCTGCAACTGAGGTACATGCATGCCCTTGGCTGGAATTGAACCCAGGACTCATTGGTCTGCGGGCTGACGCTCTAACCACTGAGCCAAACCAGCGAGGGCTACGTTACCCTTTTTATCAAGTGTCTCTTTGAATATTTTTTTCTTTATCATTCTACATCCTTACCAATTCATGGTGGATCAATCTTCTTTTTAAAATTATTATTGTTATTATTATTTTTTTGGTATGTGCTCCTAGCAGGAACCAAACCCAGGACTCTCTGGTCCACGGGCCGATGCTCCAACCACTGAGCCAAACCGGCCAGAGCCAATCATCTTCTTTTTTTTTAAAGAGAGAGGAAGGGAGAGGGAGAGAAACATCTATGTGAGAGACACATCAACTGATTGCCTCCTGCATGACCCACGGGGATTGAACCTGCAACCCAGGTATGTGCCCTTGAATGGAATCAAACCCGAGACCCTTTGGTCTGAGCGCTGACACTCTAATTGTTGAGGCAAACTGGCTCAAGTCATACATTTGGACACAGATGTTGCAATGATTGGAAATGTGTCCCAAAGTATCACATTTTGAACTAAAATTTCTATTAGTCTATTCACCCATACACTAAAAAATATTTAACAGTCTACTAGTATGTGCTATGAGTTTTTCTAGTTTATTAATCAGCTGTTCGACCAAAACATAAGATTTCTGCTCCTGTTTAAAGCGTCCATATTCTAGTGGGTAGAGACAAAAAGTAAACTGGCAGCAAACAAATAGGATTAATTTTTGATGGTGTGCAGTTGCTCACTGAAATGTTACCAATTAACGATAATGATAAAACATCAGAAAGAAGTTAGGCAACTGATGTGACATGAGCTTGATGGATTATTATGCCATTAAGTTGGCAATTATGACATTAAAAAATATTTAGCCGTATAATAAAAGGGTGAACATTTTAAATTGTATGTATACTTTGTTTAAGACTGTAAAATACCTGTGCTGTGATGGGCATAGTCAAAGACTAGCATGGCCCAGAAGAAAAAGATAACGTTGTTGTACTTTTGGAGTGGTAGGATTATGGGGGCTGGGGGCTGGGGGCTGGGGGTAGAGCGAGATTGAGGGATTTGGTTTTGTTTTGGTTTTTTGTCTTACCCGTTACCGCGTTCTTAACAGTAGAAACTGGCATCATGTGGTCTTCTCATGGAACTTTTCTTTGTATAAGGCTTTAGAGTTCAGAGATTTATCAATTTAATAAGGAGTGGCAAGTTTGGAAATAAAACTCGGGTTGCTTCAGTGTGAAGTAAGGCAATGTGAGGGCCAAGAGTTTCGCTCCATAGACCTTTGAGATTTAAGGCGCCAAGAAGCTACGCCTGAGGAAACACACGGCAGCCTCCGGTCTGCGCCTGCGCCTGCGCCTGCGCCTGCCGCGAGTGGGCGAGGCCGGAGAACAGGCCCGCACGGCGCGGACTGGTGACGCTCTCGGCCGCTTCCGGTCCACGTGAGCGTCGTTCTCGCGCCTGCGGAGGGCTTGGGATCGGTGTTGGCGTGCAGTGGGTGGTTTTTTCCACGCGTGGCCTTCCTTCCAACGGACCATGGCCACCGACTCGTGGGCCCTGGCAGTGGACGAGCAGGAAGCAGCTGTCAAGTCGGTCAGTGGCTTCGGCTCCAGGAGAGAAGGGAGTAGGAGGGCCCAAGCGGACTCTACTTCGAATCCGGGGAGTCATGCGGGTGGGGCAGGCGGGTGGCTCACCAGAGAATCGGTGCTAATTTGCGCCCAGATAAATCAACATACAGCCTTTCCTCTTCATCTGGGCCAGTTAAAGACTTTTATCCTGTGGCTGATCTGTCCCCGCTACGTATACTGTCTTTCCTCTTGCATCTCCTCAGTGGGGATATTAAGGAAAGGCAAATTTAGATGCTGATTCTCTTTCTCTTCAAGAGTAGAACGATTATATCCAAATCTTATTTAAGCATTTTCTATTTGATTTTTAGACTATGCATATTAAAGCTGGGGACAGTGAAACAAGGAAGTGCTTAGGGTAAAAGAAGCAACAGGAGAGCCTAGGCGGGACTGCTTTGGCTCTCTGAAAACGTTATAGCAAAGAAATGAGCCTAGGCAGGGCTGCTTTGGCTCACTGGAAAGTCAGAGGTTAGAAGAAACAACAGGAGAGAGCCCGGGCGGGGCTGCTGTTGGCTCACTAGGAAGTCAGAGGAAAGGGGCCTTGGAGACAGGTTCATGGGGTTAACCCAGGTGAAGCGGCCACTGCCCCATTGCTCTGCCCCATTGCGTGGCTGGCTGCAAGTCTCATGGGGGCCCTTAGAGTTTAGGAAATGCGACCTGAGAAGGAAGAAAGGCTTGTGCTTGCTCCTGGGAGCGAGAGTGCCTTATTTGAACATTTTTTTTAGATCCATGCTTAACATGTTTGGTAGTTTGTAGCTCTGCAGAATAACAGATTTAGGTTTTTGCATGTTTCAGTCTACTGCAAATGTTGGTGGGGGGCACTACAAATTGTTTCACTGATGTTTAAAATGACATTTAGTTTCATGTACTGGTTCTTTGATTAATTAAGATCCATTCAACTGGAAAGGAGTTATACTGTAAACTACTTGCTGTTCTTATGTCTAAATTTAGGTTTGTTTAGTGATAATGGATTTGATTTTAAGGATAAAATAGGGGGTGTTTTGTTTTTGTAGTCTGAAATCATAACTTTTTTAATTAAAAAAATTTTCTTTATTGGTTTTTAGAGAGAGAGGAAGGAAGAGGAAGGGAGAAACATCAAGGAGAGAGAACATCGATTGGCCACTTCCAGCATGCCTTCCCACTGGGGATTTGGCCCACAACCTAGACATGTACCCTGACTGGGAATCAAACCCTGGACCTCTTGGTTCATCGGGCAACGCTCAACCACTGAGTCACACCAGCCAGGGCTGAAATCATACAACTTTCTAATGCCTAAGTTACATTTCTTCTTCTGTCACCCTTTATTGCTTTGGGAGGATTATCAGTTTGTCAGCAGATATTTGAAATGGGCTGAATTCACTGGAAAATAAGTTTTACAGTCTAGTTAGGAAGGCTAGAATGCAAGAAATGCTGTGAAAATGGGAAGAACAATGTGATAACTGCACTCTGAACAAGGAGAGAACATATATGAGTAAGAAAATGATTAGCTCACATTTGAGCAGGATATTAGAGACTGAGTCATTTTAAGATAGAGATGGAGGTGAAAGGCATTTTAGAAAGATAGAATGCACAAAAGTATTGGACTTGCCTAGAGAACAGGAATCAACTCATTTTTGCTGTAGCTTAAGGTTATTGGGTTTTAGTAGGAGCAGTATAGAAAATATGTAGGGAGTGTACCTTGGACTTTAAGAACTTAAAGAGGAGAGGCTTTATAGTTAGTCTGGGGATTTTTAAGGATACTGACAACATCAGATTGAGAGCTGGCAAGATTTATTGCACTGCAGAGAACAGAATATATTAGGAGTGATGTTTAAAGGAAAGGAGATTAGTGTGAAAGATACCCTAATAGCTCATAGATAGAAGGTGTATATTGAGTAGTGAAAGTGAAGATGAGGGGATAGATTCAAGAGATAATTGTGGCCTGGCTGGTGTGGCTCAGTGGTTGAGTGTTGACCCATGCACCAAGAGGTCGCCGGTCAGGGCACATGCCCAGGTTGATGGCCAAATCCCCAGTGGGGAGCATGCAGGAGGCAGCCAATCGATGTTCTCTCTCATTGATGTTTCTGTCTCTCCCTCTCCCTTCCTCTCTCTCTCAAATCAATAAAGGGAAAAAAAAATTTAAATAATAAATAATTGTGGCACTGGCCGGGCATCTCATTTGGTTAGAGCATTGTCCCAGTATGCCAAGGTTGTGGGTTCAATCCCCGGACAGGGCACATACAAGAATCAACTGATGAATGCATAAATAAGTGGAATAACAAATCTATGTTAATAAATTAAAATAAAAATTTTAAAAAGAGATAATTGTGGAGGTATAACTAGAAGGACTTAGGGGGAAAAAAAGAGAAACGGGAAATAAAGGCAAGGATTACTGTTTGCAACTTGGATCCCACAGGTGGTATTTATAAAATGCTAATAACAGGACTAGGGAAGTAGGAAGAAGGGCAGAGTTGATATGGAGGATGATGAGTTCACTTTTGACTGTTCTTAATTTGAGGTAAGGGGAACATTTTGGTAAATACCTGTTGAGAGTCCCCAAGAGTTGTTCAAGTTTGATGATTTCTTAGGAGGACTCATAGGAATCAGCATATACTTGTACTCAGAGCTATGATTTATTATAATGAAAAGATACAAAGCAATATTAGCAAAAGGGAAAAGCACATGGAGCAAAGTCCAGAGGAAACCAATCATAAGCTTCAAAGAGTCCTCTCTAGTGTAGTTCCACGTTCCACATAATTCGTGCTTAATTCCTCCAGAAACAGATGGTAACAACACATGTGAAGTGTTGACAGGGAAGCTCAGAGACTCAGTGCTTAGAGTTTCTATTGGGGGCAGAGGGAGCTGTCACACAGTCATCCTCTGCCTAGCCTGTACCAAAATTTCAGACTCCTAAAAGAAAAGCAAGTGTTAGCATAAACGACATGTTTTTACATACATAGTCAGTGAACCCCTCAGTCATTCTGGAAATGATGGGAACCCTGTCAAAATCCATATTCCCAATGCTAGCCAATGGCCAACCTGGCAAGCTGGCTTTCCTAAGAATAATAGTCCTGTTACATTAACTCTTTTCTGCACAGAACTCATCAGGCATTTGGAAATGTTACACTAGAGCCCAGCCAGTGTAGCTCAGTGGATTGAGCATCATCCCATGGACTGAGAAGTCCCAGTTCAATTCCCAGTCAGGGTACATCCTCAAATTTCGGGCTCCATCCCTAGTGGGGGGTGTGCAGGAGGCAGCCAATCGATGTTTCTCTTTCACATTGATGTTTCTGTCTCTCCCCCTTCTCTCTCTAACAAATCAATTTAAAAAACATTAAAAAATAAAAGAAATGTTACACTGGAGTTCAGGAGAATAATCAGGTCAGAGGTACAAAACTGGCAGTTATTCATAAAGAAATAAAGCATGATCTAGTATATGGTTCTGGTGTTCTAGAGTTTACAATCTAGTGTTTAGCATCAGATTCTTCCCTAAAAGACAGTTACTGAGAATTAGTTTCAGATCTTTTTTTATTGTTGGAAGTATTACAGATGTCCCCTCATTTCTTCCCCTGATAAGAGGGAGGGAGGGAGAGAGAGAAACATTGATGTGAGAGAGACACCTTCTGCACTCACCCCAAGTGGGGCCTGGGATGGAACCTGCAACTCAGGTATGTGTCCTTGCCAGGAATCCAACCTGAGACCCTTCGAGACCCTTTGGTAGGCAGGCCAACACCCTAAACACAGCTACACTGGCAAGGATCTCTCCCATCTTTTTGTTTTAACACATAGACTTGTATACATTAGTTTAATAAATAATTCATAGTATTAGGTTATCCTGTGGCTCTGCTCTCACATGCTTTTTTCTTTTTTTCCCCATTCAGATCAGTAATTTGCAGATCAAGGAAGAGAAAGTCAAACCAGATACCAATGGTGAGTCACTAGTAACTGACTTTCAACTTATCTGTGTCTTTATATTTAAAGTGTGCCTCTTACCTGGTTGGAGTGGCTCAGTGGTTGAACATTGACCCATTCACTAAGAGATCACTGGTTCGATTCCCGGTTAGGGCACATGCTTGGGGTTTCGGGCTTGATCCCCTTTGGGAGTGTACAAGGGGCATCCAGTCAATGTTGATGTTTCTATCTCTCTCCCTCTCCTTTTCTTTCTAAAGTCAATTTAAAAAATTAAAAATAAAGTGTGCCCCTTGTAGACAACTGACAGTTGGATCATGCTTTTTTGTTTTTTGTTTTTATCCATTCTAATAATTTGTCTTTAAATTCGAGTAGTTTATCTACTTATATTTAATGTAATTATTGATGTCATTGGGTTTAGGTTAGTGATTTAACTTTTTTTTTTTTCTGTTTGTCCCCTCACATTTCATTTCTCTGCCTCTTTTCCTGCCTTTTGGGTTAAGTGAATATCTTAGAGTCCCATTTTAATTTATTTATGGGTTTTTTAACTATCTCTTTGCATTCTTTTATGTGTGTTTTAAAGTTTTCTTCATGTTAGTCTTGCACATTTTTGTTAACTTTATTTCTAGGTCCAATATTTTATCGTTTTAGTTGCTATTATAAATAGGACATTTTTTCAATTATATCTCTATTTGTATTTAAGCCACTGATTTCTGTTTACTTAAGTTGATACTAGTCCTGCAAGTTTACAGTCATACATTCTATAAAACATGATCATTTTAGCCCGACCAAGAGGTTGCCTGTTTGATTCCTGGTCAGGGCACATGCCCAGGTTGTGGGCCCGATCCCCAGTGAGGGGCATGCAGGGGACGGCCAGTCGATGTTCTCTCTCATTGATGCTTCTATCTCTCTCCGTCTCCCTTCCTCTCTCTAAAATTAATAAAGAAAAAAATGTTTTTTAAAAAAGTGATCATTTTACCTCTGCTTTTTAATTTTTTTCTCATGTTTATTCTATTTGCTAATATAAAACTGTATTTTATCTTAGGATAAGTAAGTTAGAGTGACATTGTGATCACTTTGAAGTCAGCCAAAATTTCTAGAAATCTGAAATTTTCTTATGCACTTAAAAACTTCTTAGGAATAAAAAATTATTAAACACAAAGAAATGCCAACTATTTATATTTTGATCACTTAAATAAGTTTTAGTATTTACATTGTTCCACCTTCTGGATGGGTTTGATATTTGCCTTTCTGATTATGACAACTGTTTTCTTGTGTAGGTGTTATTAAAACCAGTGTCACTACAGAGAAAACAGATGAAGAAGAAAAAGGTAACTACTCTTTGAAACCCTGTAGCAAGAGACAGAGTATGACCCAGGACTTGCCTTTCTGGAGCTAGAGGCACTCTGAATTGTAAGATGAAGGAGAAGGGGAGTAATCCACAAAGGAGATTGAGAAGACACAGTCAGTGAGCTAGAAGGACCGAAAGAGAGTGCTGTCCCAGAAATCAGAAGAAGAAAGTTTTTCCAAAGTTGGGAGTCAATTATAGGTAACAAGTTGATTAAGAGAAGAAGTAAAAATTGTCTGTTGGATTCACTTAGTAGCTTGACAGGGGCTGAGGTCAAGTGGAAGGGTTAAATAAAAAAAAAAAACAAAAAAAAACGGGGTGGTGGGGGAGAAATAAACCACAGAACTTATATGCATGTGTGCATGAACAGTGGACATGGACAACAAACTGGGGAAAGGGCAGAGAGGGAGGGAGAGGGGGGAATCAGTGGGGGGAAAAGGAGAAACATCTGTAACAAAAATTAATTAATTAAAAAAAAAAAAAAACTATTCAGCCCTGGCCGGTTTGGCTCAGCTGTTAGAGCGTCAACCTGCGGTCCAGAGAGACCCGGGCTCGGTTCCCACTAAGGACGCGTACCTCGGTTGCAGTTTGTCCCCGGCCCTGGTTGGTCATGTGGGTGGCAGCCACTCGATGTGTCACTTTCATGTCAATGTTTCTTTCTCTCTCTCTCTCTCTCTCTTCCTCTCTCTCCCTCCTACTCTACCTGAACAAAAAATGCAAAAATGTCCTCGGGTGAGGATAAAAAAAAAACAAAACAAAAACAAAAACCCCATTCGGTGTACAGTCAACAGAAGGGGAGGAGAGAAAGTGGAAATGAATATAGATAGCCTTTTTAGGGAATGTTCCATAAAAGAGAAGGGGGTTGGTATCACAAGGATGGAGTTTGGCAGATGAGTGTGAAGAAAATCTACTGGTGGTCCTTGCCAGGTAGCTCAGTTGATTAGAGTGTTGTTCTGATATGCCAAGGTTATGAGATCCATCTCTGGTCAGGGCACGTGCAAGAATCAAGCAGTGAATGCATAAATAAGTGGAACGACAAAATCGATGTTTCTCTCTATACATCTCTCCCCCTTCTCTAAAATCAATAAAAATTTTTAAAAAGAAAAAGACAATCTACTGGTTTCTTTCTGACAGAGGACAGAGCTGCCCAGTCCTTACTCAACAAGCTGATCAGAAGCAACCTTGTGGATAACACAAACCAAGTGGAAGTCCTGCAGCGGGATCCAAAGTCCCCCCTCTACTCAGTGAAGTCCTTTGAGGAGCTTCGGCTGTGAGTATTTGTTCCTTTGAGCTGTTTCATACCAGTCCCTCTCTTATAAAACTTAGCATCTCAGAGATTCTTGTGGGAATTTTACCATTTACTTTTATTTTTAAAAACCCTAATGTATGTATTTCTTTGACTAGTTAATAATTCACATGATTCAAAAGTCAAAAAATATGAAGAAGATTACAGTGATGTTCTCCCTCCCCACCTTGTCTCTTGGCTTCCCAGTTTTCCTCTTGGTAGGGATTTTTAAATGCTACAAATTTATTCATCATAGCTGAAAGTATTTTTTCTTTTATGCTCTTAGAACTTTCAATAAAATATTGGCTGACAGGTGATTTCTGGATGTCAGGAACATTTCTTATTAGGTAAGCCCTTTTGTTAGACTATAGGGTTTATGGTCTAAAGAACAGTTTATCTGCTTTTATAAAATCTGTTAAAAGAGCCTGTATAGGATTCCAAGGACCTACAGTGCAAAGCAGCCTTCAACATTCTGGAATTTTAAAAAACCCAGAACCCAGAATTAAGTCTTAGGTTAGTACATGTATGGCATTGTGTTAAGAATGACTTCTAATATGTCATTATTTTTAAAGAGATAATTACAAAATGTCATACCAAGTTTTTTGTTTCTTCGTTAAGTTAGTAAAGAGGTGTTTATGGATCACTGGTTTGTGAACATGCCACTATACTGGGTGCTATGAGTGACACAAGACATAACAACCTTTTTTGCTGCCTGCGAGGACCTGAATCATAGACAGAAAATAGCTGGTCAGTAAGAAAGTGGTGGAATAAATGGATTCATTGCCTTTATTCAGCAAAATCAATAGTATGCCCACTGTGAGCAAATGGGGGCCACATTTTTGCCAACTATTACCTCTTCTTTAAGAGACACTGAAAATGCCAAGCCAACTAGAACCAAGTCAAATTGTTAATGAAGTAATAGCTAATAATAGGTTTGTTTATTATGTTTTTGTTTGTTTGTTTGAGGTGTGGCCTTTTTTTAATGATTTCAGGAAATTATACTTTTCTGTGTTATTTCCTCTCAAGGGCTTCATTCACAAATCTGTCATCTCTGCTTCTGTTCATAAATTGTATTAGGGCAGCTAGATATGCTCTGTTGTTTCCTGAACTGACAGTTTGCTTTTCCAAGTATCAATGGTTTTTTTAAGTTCCTTTCATTTAAAGGACTGGAGCTCTCAATTCAACCAGTGATGAATTGGCCTCTTTGAAAAGGCAAGTTCTCTCTGATTTAGCTGTTAGTGGCCAAAGGAAACAAAGAATGAAACTTAGGTCACCTAATATACTTGGTCTATTTTGTATTTAAAAGATTTGAATTAATCTGCAAAGTAAAAGAAGAAAAAAAAAGCCACTGTAAGCTCTTAGATCGCTTGAAAATCCTCATTCGGTAATGACTTTGTTTCCTTGACAACCAAATCAGAATCTGCTGGCATTAGTCTTTTCTTCCAAATGTCAGACACCAAAGGTTATGTTTTCAAAGTTCTTTGTGTCTGAGAACCAACATAGGTCAGAAGAATTTGTCTTTTAGAGAGCCTGTTAAACTCCATGGTAGGCGTAGAGACTTGGCTTGACTTTTCTTTGGAAATAATCTAGTGTGATTTTTGTTAAACACTCTGTTTAGAGGTAGCAGAGAGCTTATTGTAAATGCAATGTAAGAGCAACTTGAATTGGTATTTGTTGTGTAGCTGCTTATATAAGAAGCTGGTGCTTTTCTTGATTTTTGACTAGACATAAATAAATCTAAGCATTTGTAAAGTCCAGTACGGTAACTGAAATCCCCTACCCTTTACCCATGTACTGTATAGATCAGCTACTAGAAACTGGCTGAATCAGTTTTCTTCTTGATTTTTCCAAGTATTTGCACTTGATTTGTCTAATCAGGCTTTGGAAGGGCCATTAAATACAAAATGACTGGTTCAATTTAATATCTTCCCTGAGAAATTAAAACTGAAATCCCATTCTCAAAAGGGACTTTTCTAGCAGCGCAGTAACCAATGTTACTCTTGTTTTTAAGCATTATTACTTTTAAAGATGTTTTTTATCATTTATTTTATACCATGAATTAATAAAGAGCACTCTTGCAGTATCCACTTGTCACCCAAGGCCAATCATATTTGTGAGTCTGCTGAAAACATGAATTTTTCCGAGAAAGGAAACCAGTCTATATTTTATTACTTACATAATAGTTGCAGATTAAGATTTAATAGGAAGAGATGATTTTGTTTTATTTCAGACAGTGTTTTTTTAAGGCATAGGAAAATATGTCTAACAAAGATAGGAAGCATCATTCTTTGCTAGATATAGGGGAAGATAAAATTCTAGGCCTTGAAAACAGTCTCAAAAACTAGAAATCCATCTTCTCTCTCCCTGGCCTCCCAGGAAACCACAGCTTCTGCAGGGAGTCTATGCCATGGGCTTCAACCGACCATCCAAGATACAAGAGAACGCATTACCCATGATGCTTGCTGAGCCGTGAGTATGCACCTCTTTAGAATTTGGTTTAACATCATCCATCAAGAGCTGTTACTATCATGAGACCAAGATGGGATGTTGGGGCAACATTGTTTCTTCAGGGGAACAGCTTGGGCAAGTGCAGAGAAGTGAGATGGAATTCAGTCCAGTTTCTGCCATTCCCATTTAACAATAAAAACTGATAGGGAAAGTAAACACTATTCTGTGCAATTTTTTTAAAAAATATTTTTTCTTTTTATTGATTTTAGAGAGGAAGGGAGAAGGGGAGAGAGATGGAGACATCAATGACAGAGAACATTGACTGGCTGCCTCCTGCATGCCCCCCCACCAGGGATCAGGTCCGAAATCTGGGCATGTGCCCTGACCAGGAATTGAACTGGTGATCTCTTGTTGCATGCGTCGATGTTCAATCACTGAGCCACACCTGCCAGGCTAAAGATACATTTTTTTTAAAAGAATCTAAAGGTCTGGCCATTGTGGCTCAGTGATTGAGCATCGATCCATGCACTAAGAGGTCACCAGCATTCCTGGTCAGGACACATGCCCAAGCTGTGGGCCCAATCCCCAGTGGGGGGCATGCAGGAGGTGGCCAATTGATGTTCTCTCTCATCAATGTTTCTATCTTTCTCTCCCTCTCACTTCCTCGCTCTCTAAAATCAATAAAGGGAAAAAAAATTTTTTAAAGGAAAAAAAAAAAAAAAAGAATCTAAAGGGTAGTTTAGCCCTGACCAGTTGGAGTGTGGACCTGCAGACTGAAGGGTCTCATGTTCAATTCCCAGTCAGATCCCTGGCCCCAGTGAGGGTCATTTGGGAGGCAACCAATTGATATTATCTCTCTCACATCGATGTTTCTCTCTCCCGCCCTCCCTTCTACTCTATTTAAAAAATCAATGGAGCCCTGGCTGGTTTGGCCAGCGGTCCAGAGAGACCCGGGTTTGGTTCCCACTAAGGTCATGTACCTCGGTTGCAGTTTGTCCCCGGCCCTGGTTGGGTTGTGTGGGTGGCAACCACTGGATATGTCCCTTTCACGCGATGTTTTTCTCTCTCTCTCTCTCTCTATCCCCCTCCCACTCTATCTGAACAAAATATGGAAAAATGTCCTCAGGTGAGGATTTAAAAAAAAAAATCAATGGAAAAATATCCTCTGATGAGGATTAACCAAAAAAAAAATTAAAAATAAACATAAATAAATAAAACCACTGTTTTAAAAAAGCAGTGACTGGTGTGGCTCAGTTGGTTGAGCATCATCCTATACACCAAAAATTCTCTGGTTCAATTCCTGGTCAGGGCATCAAACAAACAAAAGATTTGCCTATTTTATTTAAAAAGTAGTTTACATATTTTTAAACCTTAGATAAATGGTCTACTTTATGTAGCAACTTCCTTTGTTCAACTCTATTATTATTTTTCTTTTTTAATGACAAAAATGGCACCTATTTCCACATGAAGTGAAATGTAAAAGTTCCCTCTAAAGCATCTGTCTGACTTGGTATCTTACATTTTCCATAAAGATGAGAAAAGGGAATACACAGAAGGAGTCAAGTCCTAGAGGCACACTATGGCTTAGCAGAAAATGTCCTCAGGGATTTGTCTTGGCACAGATATTCTGCAGTCTTAATTTCCATGGGGCCCTTAAGGTACAAAACTATGTCACTAGCTGTGTCAGAGTCTAGAATGAGGATTTCTTGGTGTGAACCCATCTAAAACAATCATTATTTCCCATATTTATGCAGTTTTTTAACAGTATATTTTAAAAACTTATCTTTGTGCTCAATATAGAAAACATGGACTAAAGGGGGAAATTCACATTCCTACCACCCAGAAAGAACATTTTGACACCTTCTTTTTGTGTTTAACGAATATTATTTTCATAACCTTGATCCAGCCCACAGAACCTGATTGCTCAGTCCCAATCTGGTACTGGTAAAACAGCTGCCTTTGTCCTGGCCATGCTCAGTCGAGTGGAACCAGCAGAGAGATACCCCCAGGTGAGGGCTGGGAAATCCTGGGGTCCCAACTTATCTGCCTTGGGAAGGGCAGTGCCATCTGGTGGGGGATTGACGAGGGTTCCCTAGGAGACTTCTGAACCTTTTCTATGCTTCAAACTGTAGCTTGAGGCAGAGCAGAACCTGGGTAGAAGTCATTCAGAAGCAGCCTTAAATAATAGCTTCTGAAGGGATCCACCTAGCCAAGCTGAAAAGTTGGCCTAGTTAAAAAGGATGTGGTTTTCTGCACTGTTCAAGTGGTCATAACATCAGTGTACTTGTTGCTTTAGAGCCTGTTGTCTATTACTAAAAGGGTCTCCTAAAGTTATCCTTTATGATATCCTTGTCAGTGCCTGTGCCTCTCCCCAACATACGAGTTGGCCCTTCAAACGGGAAAAGTGATTGAGCAGATGGGCAAATTTCATCCGGAACTAAAACTTGCTTATGCTGTTCGAGGCAATAAATGTGAGTATAAAGAGATGAGCCCTAGCAGTGAGCAGGGTAGGGTGGTTGGGTGTTTGAATATTGAAGATGTGGTGATAATTCAACACTCTGGTTCAATCTGACCTTAGAGCCTTAATTCATTGATAGTTTATTAATAGTTCTCTCCACTCTTAAGATTTTGCATTTTTAGAAAATCCTTGGGTTCTGGGATTTCTTCACTGGGAAGACAGGGTTTTGAATTTGGCAGAGTTCTGGACGCTGCTTACTAGAGAGGGATGGCAGCACTGAGGATGCTAGGTGGAGGTCAGATACTTTTATTTAAAAATAAGCACAGCTTTGCTTTGGCTGGTTTAGCACAGTGGTTAGAGCATTAGCCCTAGAACCAAAGGGTCATGGGTTTAATTCCCAGTCAACGGCATGTACGTTGGTTGTGGGTTCTATCCCCAGCCCCGGTTGGTGTCCTGCAGGAGGCAGCCAATCAATGTGTCTTACTCTCTCACATCAATGTTTCTCTCTCCCTTCCTCCCTCCCACTCTACCTAAAAAAAAAAGTCAATGGAAAAATATCCTCGGGTGCAAATAAATAAAAAAAAAAGGTAAGCACAGCTTTAGTAAGAGTAAACTAAGAGCATGTATAGCTCACTCAGTCTTACCAATATCAGAAATCCTCCAGCAGTTCTTTCTTCTGCAGAATGTAATTTAGAGAATATGGGTTAAAATGAGGAGGTGGGACAGGTAGAAAGCGGGTTATTAGAAAGTTATCAGAATATAAAAAACTACAAATCATTAAGAAAAAAGGAAGCAATCTATTAGGAGAATAGATAAAAGAGGCCCACTTGAACAGACGCCTCACAAAAGAAGGAATTCAGGTGGTCAGTAAACATGAAAAGATGAGCCTCATTAGTCGTCACAAAAATGTCTTAAACCATTACACACCTTTCAGATGGGCAAAAATAAAGAAATCTGACAATTAACAGTATTGGTAAGACACAGAACTGAAATGCTTACACACTCACTCCTTGCAGGGAGTATGCACTGGTACAACCACTTTAGGAAACAGTTTGGTGTTACCTAGAAAAGCTGAAAAGAGGCATCCGTTTGACCCAGCAGTTTATAATTGCCTAAAGCAGCGGTTCTCAAATTTTTTGGCATCCTACACTCTTAAACATTATTATTATTATTATTATTCTTGTTATTTTTTTTTTATGCCAACCAGGAACTTTTATGTTATTTTATTTTTTAATCTTTATTGTTGAATGTATTACAGATGTTCCTCATTTTCCCCCCATTGACCCCCTCCCACCTTTTCCCACACTGTTGTCTGTGTCCATTGGTTATGCATATAAGTTCTTTGGTTTATTTTTTCCCACCTCCCAACCCCCTTCTCTTTGAGGTTTGTCAGTCTAGCGACCAATTTGTTCTTCTTAATCCCTTCACCTTTTTCACCCATTTCCCCAACTCCCCTCCCATCTGGCAACCAACAAAATGTTCTCTGTATCTATGAGAATGTTCCTGTTCTGCATGTTCATTTTGTTTGTAGATTCCATTGTCGATAGATATGTATCCATGCCATTTTGTTTGTTCATACATTTTATCTTTTTCTTCAAAAAGACCCTTCAACATTTCATATAATAACGGTTTGGTGGTGATGAACTCCTTTAACTTTTTCTTGTCTGGGAAATTCTTTATATGGTCATCAATTCTAAATCATGACAGCTTTTCAGGACAGAGTAACTTTGGTTGTAGGTTCTTGCTTTTCATCACTCTGAATATTTCTTGCCACTTCCTTCTGGCCTGCAAAGTTTCTTTTGAGAAATCAGCTGACAGCCTTATGGGAACTCCCTTGTAGGTAACTAGCTGCCTTTCTCTTGCTGCTTTTAAGATTCTCTCTTTGTCTTGAACCTTTTGCATTTTGATGATGTGTCTTGGTGTGGACCTCTTGGGATTCATCTTGTATATCTGTTTCCTTCACCAAATTAGGGAAGCTTTCTGCCATTATTGTTTCAAATAGGTTTTCTATTTCTTGTTCTCTCTCTTCTCCTTCCGGCACCTCCAAGATGCGAATGTTGGCACGCTTGAAGTTGTCTCAGAGGCTCCTTACACTATCCTCATTTTTTTGGACTCTTTTTTTCTTTTTGCTGTTCTGATTGGGTGTTTTTTGCTTCCTTATGTTCCAAATCGATGGTTTGCTTCTTGGCCTTACCTACTCTACTATTGAATCTATGTAAATTATTCTTTATTTCAGTTAGTGCCTCCTTCATTTCTAACTTCTCCTTTTTTATGCTCTTGAGGCCCACACTACGTTTGCTGAGGTTCTCACTAAGTTCATTGAGCATCCTTATAAGCAGTATTTTGAACTCAGCATCTGTTAGGTTGCTTATCTCCATTTTGCTTAGTTCTTTTCCTGGAGATTTTTTCTGTTCTTTCATTTGGGACCTGTTTCTGTGTCTCCTCATTTTGGCTGCCTCCCTGTGTTTGTTTCTGCGTATTACTTAACGAGAGGTATGGGCTAGCTGAGACCAGATGCTGCTTGTTTGAAAGAATTTAGGAAAACCTGAAGCAGGATCCAAGATAGGCCAATCCTATGGTTAAGCAACTGGCAACAGCTTGGGTGGGGCAGGGCCTCAGGGAATCACCAGGGCGGGGCTACCAGTGTGAGCCAGGTTGCTGGAGTCCCAGATATGGCTTCTGTCTGCTGGCCCACGGAAGGACTCACCAAGGAAACAAAGGCCTCTGACAGCATGTTTGTCCTGGAGAAAGCCTCCTCTCCAGCCCTTGCTCCAATGCCAAACAGCTTAGTTCTTCCCTGTATGTCTCTAGTGTCCCTCGAGCTGCCTCCCCTCCAAGCTTAGAGGGAGTGAGTCCAATAAGTCCGTGCATGGGCCCTTTAAGAGGAGCTGCCTGGGGCTGCAGCCGCCTCAGCCTCCCTGAGCCTCAGTTCCCACTGGTTTTTCCAGCGAGAAGTTATGGGGACTTCTCTTCCTGGCACTGGAACCCTGAGCGGGGCACCTGGTGTGGGACGGGGACCCCTCAGTCCTTAGGGAGGACCTTCTCAGCTGAGGTGTCCTCCTGATTTTTATCCGCCACATGTGGGTGTGAGGCCAGCCTGTCTGCCTCCGCCCCTCCTACCAGTCTGGATGTGGCTGCTGCTTTAATTTCATAGTTGTAGGACTTCCATTCAGTGTGATTTCAGGCAGTTTTGAATGATGGTTGTTCTGTAGTTGTAACTTTGATGTGGTTGTGGGAACACGCGATACCGCGTTTACCTACGCAGCCATCTTGACCACAAGTCTCTTAAACATTATTGCAGACCCCAAAGCATTTTTGTTTATACAGGTTATATTTATCAATACTTGTCATATTGAGAAACTTTTTAAAGTACTTAACTTTTGGCCCTGGCTGGGTTCAGTTGGTTACAGCATCGTCCTGTTATGCCAAGGTTGCAGGTTCAGTCCCTGGTCAGGGCACATACAAGAATCATCCAGTGAATGTATAAATAAATGGAACAACAAATCAGTGCCTATCTCTGCCTCTGTCTTTCTCTCTCCTTCCCTTCATCTCTCTAAAATCAATAAAATACTTTTGAAGAGAATATAAAGGAAATCTGGCCTTTCATATAATTTTAGATTTTTTTTTAATGCTACACCAAAATTTTAACAAGTGGTAATTACTTAAAAGTTAGTTGAAATGTAGTATCTGAAATCATTAACGAACTTTTCATACTGTTACATTAAAATTATTTTCTCTTTTTAAACATGTTTTTAATGATTTTTTAGAGAGAGGTAGGGAGAGAGAGATAGAATCATAGATGTGAGAGAGAAACATTGATCAGCAGTCTCCTGCACACCCCCTAATGGGGATCAAGCCTGAAACCCAGGCATGTGTCCTGACCGGGAATCGAACCAGCACTTCTCAATCCACTGAGCCACAACAGCCGGACTTCTCTTGCATTTTCAGTGTGTCCTTTGCCAAAAAATGTTTAAGTGATGTAATGCCGTGGTCATTTGGAAAATTCTGTCTTAATGAGTTATGCAGATCTTCCAAATGTTGACACATTTTATTATACATTAAAAAATTAATTTTTTTTAATCTTCACCCAAGGATATTTTTCCATTTATCTTCAGATAGAGTGGGATGGAGGGAGAGAGAGAGAGAGAAACATCGATTAGAGGGACACATTGACTGGTTGCCTCCCACACAACCCCGACCAGGGCTGGGGATGAACTGCAAGTGAGGTACGTGCCCTTGACCAGAATCAAACTTGCAATTTTTTGGTCCAAGGGCCGATGCTCTAACCACTGAGCAAGACCGGTAAGGCAAATTTTAATTGCATGCATTAACATCATCACCAAACTCATTAGAGGAGTTTATGTACATCAGAAACTCTCAAACTTACACTGGCACATACAGGTTTATCAAAGTTCTTATTCCGATTTTCTCTTGAAAGCTTAAATATTATGATGGCAGCATATACAGTCGACTGAACTCTTTGAAGAGACAGGCATTCTTTGTTCATTTTCAAGAAAGTATGTATCATTCCCAACTTGATTTCCCATAGTTTGTCAGTCAACAGACAAAAATGGCTAGTTCAGCTCACCACATAATCACAAAGCAGCTTTTCCTGCAGAATACCATCATGCTTTGGTATGGGGCAAAAGCACATTATCCAGAAATTATTAGGTTGGGTATTTTTGTGTGTGTTTATTTGATAGCTCACACTGATGGGTGCACCTAAGTGAAATGTACCAGAATATTGTGACAACATATATCTTCTCTAGATTGTTTTAGAATAATAACATGGGACTTCACTACATGTGAAGGATTAATTTTTTTCTTAATTGATTTTAGGGAGAGAGGAAGGGAGAAAAATAGAAACATTGATGAGAGAAAACATTGATTGGCTGCCTCCTGCATGCTCCTCACTGGGATTTGGCCCACAACCTGGGCATGTGCCCTGACCAGGAATTGAACTGGCGACCTTTTGGTGCATGGGTCGATACTAAACCACTGAGCCACACAAGCTGGGAGGATTAATATATTTAAGTATTTAAGTATTTAAATTTAAGTATTTAAGTTTCAGTTTTGGCTGATGGGCAGTGAATGTGCATTACCACAATGTTTTTAAGAGTTAATTTAAAACTTTTCTAATGGATAGTTGATGAATTCCTAGTAAAAGGCCCTTTTCCCTCAAGTTTAAAAAAATTTTTTTTTTCTTTATTGATTCTAGAGAGAGGAAGGGAGAGGGAGAGAGGGATAGAAACATGGATGAGAGAGGACATCCATTGGCTGCCATCTGCGTGCCCCCCACTGGGGATCAGTGGGCCCACAACCTGGGCATGTGCCCTGACCGGGAATTGAACTGGCGACCTCTTGGTACATGGATCGACACTCAACCACTGAGCCATCAGCCAGGCTCAAATTTTAAAATTGTGTTTTTTTTAATCCTCATCCGAGGACATTTTTCCTTTTTTTTTTTTGTTCAGATAGAATGGGAGGGAGAGAGAAGAAGAAAGAGAAGAGAGAGAGAAACATCGACGTGAAAGGGACACATCGAGTGGCTGCCACCCACACAACCCAACCAGGTCGGGGACAAACTGCAACCAAGGTACGTGCCCTTAGTGGGAACCAAACCCGGACTGCAGGCCAACGCCAAACCAGCCAGGGCAAAAAATTGTATTTGTTTTTAAAATAGTTGAGATATTCACGTTTCGCCTGGCCAGTGTGGCTCAGTGATTGAACATTGACCCATGCACCAAGAGGTCACTGGTGTGGTTCCTGGTCAGGGCACATGCCCAGGTTGTGGGCCCAATCCCTGGTGGGGGGCATACAGGAGGAGGCCAATTGATGTTCCCTCTTATCTATGTTTCTGTCTCTTTCTCCCTCTCCCTTCGTCTTTCTCTAAAATCAATAAAGAAAAAAAAAAAACATTCACACTGTAAATTAAAAAGGATATATGTTAGAAACTTTTTTCTCTTAGCCACCTACTTCTCCTTCCTAAAGGCACCCAGTACTAACCAGTTTCTCACATGTCCTACCAGAGATACTCTGCAGCTACAGTTAAGTAACAATATGTATGTATAGAGTGTGTGTAAGAGTGTGTAAATATATAACGTATGTGTACACTCACACATACATACACATATATTACATGTATTCTATTTTGCCCCTCTTCGTATACAAACTGCAACTTTTTTTTTTTTTAATGTATTTTGGAGATTGTTCCATATCCACTCCTAAATGGTTTTATACTTCTGTTGATGTTATCCATTGGTTAAGTTATATTTTGCTTAAATAGTTCATTAAAAAAATTTTGTTTCTTTACTGATTTTAGAGAGAGGAAGGGAGAGGGAGAGATAGAAACATCGGTAAGAGAGAACATCAATTGGCCACTTCCTGCATGCCCCCTACTGAGGACTTGGCTCACAACCTGGGCATATGCCCTGACCAGGAACCACACCGGCAACCTTTTGGTGCATGGGTCAACACTCAATCACTGAGCCACACTGGCTGGGCAATAGTTAATTTTTTAAAATATGTTTTTATTGATTTTTTTAGAGAGAAGTAGAGATAGATAGAAACATTGATGTGACGGAAACATCAATTGGCTGTTTCCTGCATGCCCCTTACTGGGGATCGAGCCTATAACCCAGGCATGTGCCTTGACCAGAAAAAAAACTAGGACTTCTCAGTCCATGGGATGACACGCAATCCATGTAGCCACACCGGCTGGGCAATAGTTAACTTTTTATGTGTGCATATTCTTACATATATGTTACTTCACACACGTTTATACATAAATAGGATTAATACCTAATAGTGCAAATATTGGTTAAAGGTTATATACATTAGTTTTGATAGATGTTGTATCAGTTTCAACTCCTATCAGCTATAGTGTAAGAGTAATGTGTTTTTTAAATCAAAGAGAACTTGTACTTGGGAAAATTGTCTACACAATTAGAGTGTTTAACAAAGCAAAAAATTCATTAGACTAGGGTACTGGAACTAAACATTACCAATATGGGAAGAAATCAGTGAATCATGAGTGAATGAATGGTATGAAAAGAACAAGATAATGCTAAAAAGAAAGAGTTGGGTGATGTTGAATTATAGGAAAAGGTAGGAAAGAAAAATAACACTTACTGAGGGTTCACTGTGTAGGATTTAATCCTCACCACATGCAGTCAGACAGTGTCATTATTCCCACTTTACAGTAGAAGAACCAAAGACTTGGAAAACACTCCTATATGTTTTGAAATCTGCAATTAACTTGTTCTATAGCTCTGGAAGGATTGGCAAGGTTTTGTTTCCAAAGCTGGTTTTGCCATAGAACACATTTTGTCTCCACAGTGGAAAGAGGTCAGAAGATCAGTGAGCACATTGTCATTGGCACCCCTGGGACTGTCTTAGACTGGTGTTCCAAGCTCAAGTTCATTGACCCCAAAAAGATCAAGGTGTTTGTTCTGGATGAGGCTGATGTGATGATAGCTACTCAGGGCCACCAAGATCAGAGCATCCGCATCCAAAGGTAGGACTGTGGATCCAAGAGGAACTTCTCAGCCTCCTGATCTACAAGTAAAAATCTTCTCTATGTCTCCTCTTATTATATGAACTCTTCTCTCTCCTGCTGGGTTCTTTGCTTCACAACCTTCAGAAGCATATGTTTGGTGGGCCACATCAGCACTGACAATACTCCCAGCCTGGCTTGAGGAAAAAGACGTAGGACGTCTAACACCACCCCATCCCTGCCCCATGTCTGCTCCTGCTTCTTCCCCAAAGTGCTGGTCCATCGCTGTCACCTTCCTGGGGATGTGGACCATCAAAGCCTGGGGAGACTGTGCTTCTGTTTGTTCCAGGGAAAAACTCACGGTCATGCCAAACACCTGGGCCTTCTCTTGCAGGATGCTGCCCAGGAACTGCCAGATGCTGCTTTTCTCTGCCACTTTCGAAGACTCTGTATGGAAATTTGCCCAGAAAGTGGTCCCAGACCCAAACATTATCAAACTGAAGCGTGAGGAGGAGACATTGGACACCATCAAGCAGTATTACGTCCTGTGCAATAACAGAGACGAGAAGTTCCAGGCCTTGTGTAACCTCTACGGGGCCATCACCATTGCTCAAGCCATGATCTTCTGCCATGTGAGTAGCAGCAGCAGGAGCAGCAGCAGGCTTGCTGGGGGAGGAGCTCCATGGGAAGGTGTTGCCCAGCCCCTCCCTCTCAACCAGCTCCACCTTAGTGCTGAGGAGGACCAGGTTCCCCCTTTGGGACTAGGAAGAAAGTAAATCTCTTCCACCTGCCCTAGGACATATTCTTCTCATAATATAATGAGTTTTAAAGGGAAGACTGAAAATCTGAAGCTTCTTGAATCCCACTTCTTAGAGATAACTTGAAAAAAAAACCTCCAAATAACTGAAATAATGTCAAAACGTTAAGAAGATAGACTTTTGATTTTAGAAATCAAAATCTTTGGTTGAAACTACACTCTTCCTAGATGAACACTAAGATCATTTAAGTAATTCATCTACAAAAATCATGTGGCCCTGGCCGGTTTGGCTCAGCGGTTAGAGCGCCCACCTGCGGTCCAGAGAGACCCGGGTTCGGTTCCCGCTAAGGGCATGTACCTCGGTTGCAGTTTGTCCCCGGCCCTGGTTGGTCGTGCGGGTGGCAGCCACTCGATGTGTCCCTTTCACATCGATGTTTCTCTCTCTCTCTCTTCCTCTCTCTCCCTCCCACTCTGTCTGTACAAAAAATGGAAAAATGTCCTCGGGTGAGGATTAAAAAAAATAATAATAAATAAAAAATAAAAATAAAAAAAATCATGTGGCTAAAATTCTATTTGAAAAATTTAAGCCTAACCCTCTGACTGAATGCTACAGGATCTTCATGTATATAAACGGCAAGAAGCCACTTTTTCTGCAGGTGTTTTCATTTTATTTACAGGTATCTTCATTTAAAACAATTCTTTTCACTCCAGACCCGTAAAACAGCCAGTTGGCTGGCAGCAGAGCTCTCAAAAGAAGGCCATCAGGTGGCTCTGCTGAGTGGTGAAATGATGGTGGAGCAGAGGGCTGCCGTGATTGAGCGCTTCCGAGAGGGCAAAGAGAAGGTGCTGGTGACCACCAACGTGTGTGCCCGTGGTGAGCAGAGAACTTGTCCTGGTCTACCAGACTAGGGGTAGCAAGAGAAAGCCTCATCTATGGAAAACTCAGATGGTTTGGGCGAGAGCCGGTGGGGCTGGTGGTGACATTCTTTTCTAGGAGACGGGGTTCCCTCAGCAGATGGTAACTTTCACAGAAGCCCGAGTCCTGACTTGGTGAAAGGAAACGACAGGCATCTGTTTTAGAACGGTGGTGCCCTTCCGGGGCATCCATTGGTGTTTCAGCTGCATCTCCAGACACTTGTGTCCAGCAGAGGATCGCTTACTGACTTCATAATTGTGTTAGCACCTGCCAAAGTCCTGTGGTTTTCCTCTGGGCTCTGCTATGTCCCCCTTGTCCCTGAATCTCAGAGCTGGCCCACCCAGACTCCCTCCACCCAGAGTTGGTGCACATGGCCTGAATGGACGAGTGACAGTGATTTTTGTCTCCTGTCCTTACTCTTCTCCAACTCTCCTTCATGCAGGTATCGATGTTGAACAGGTGTCTGTTGTCATCAACTTCGACCTTCCCGTGGACAAGGATGGGAACCCTGACAACGAGACTTACTTGCACCGGATCGGGCGCACTGGCCGCTTTGGCAAGAGGGGCCTGGCAGTGAACATGGTCGACAGCAAGCACAGCATGAACATCCTCAATAGAATCCAGGAGCATTTTAGTGAGTCCCTGGAGTGTCCTCTGCCGGGGGCCCTTTCCTTATAAGGGCAAATCTGGGGGTGGGGAAGGGTAGGTTTCCTGTGGCCCCTAGAGAGGCTTTGTCCCTGCCCACATTCCCCTCCTTCCCTACAATATAAAAGTTCTCAAAGAGCACACCTGGAGGGCTCAGTGTCAGGGACTCAAATGACAGTTTCCCTTTGGCCAGGCTGAGGGCCCTGGGTTCCGACTGTTGCTGTCAGTGTGGGTTTCTCAGGCACCAGAAGCCTTGGGGGTTAAATGAAAGATGGATGTGACCTTAGGCAGGGCTCATTCCTGGCCAGGGCCAAGACCTGTGTGTTTCCTCCCCCTGCTATGCAGCCCCTTCTCTAGGTGTGTGTCTCCATAGTAACCCCATGATGGTCTCTCTCTTTGAATGTTTTTTTTTTCCCCCCTCAGATAAGAAAATAGAAAGATTGGACACGGATGATTTGGATGAGATTGAGAAAATAGCCAACTGAGAAGCTCCACCAGTCACTGCATAGGAAACTAGTGCTTTCGTCACACAGGTCTGGACAGTCACCGAAGACAAAGGCATGATTAGAGGGAAACAGCCTACCTCATTTTAAATTTTGTTTGGTCTTGACAAAAATTATGTAAATGGTGGGAAAAGTAGAAGGAAAATTTTGCATTTTGGAAAATTTAGTCATTTTCTCCCATTTTTTAAAGCCACGGTTTTCCCCATCTTTATAATAATTTGGTTGCTATTAGTAACCGCTGGTTCTTGGATCCCATTCCTGTTTTCTGGCTAGTGGTGTTGGGATCAGCCTCCCACCCCTGAAGAAATGGTAGAGGTAGAGTGTGGGAGAGGTTCACCATGTGGTTGGAGCATGGGGAGCAGCAGCATAGAGGCCTGTGTTCTGTCCCCCTCCTCTGTCCCTGACTGAGACTAGTCACAAATGTCTTCTGCCTTTGAGGCCATCTTTCTTCTTCTAAAATTGAGACGATTAATCTCTTTAACCTCTTCTCTGTGCCAGAGCGTGTCCCTCTTCCTCCCTGGGTGAGCATCTTAGCTACTTTCTAACCCTCAAATTGGGGAGAAGCAGGGAAGTCAGTGAATCTTCAGAGGGATTTGTCTGTTAGGGGTAGATGACTCCTTTGAGGATCCAGGCTTGACTTCTCCTCTTGCAATTGCTCTGTCTGCATGGGTACCTGGTAGTCAGTCATGGCAGCTAGGAGATACTAGGCAATTTTCTGACATGTCCGGCTGAGTGAGTTGGTTCTTATTGATGGAGTTATTACACTGTGCCTGGAAAGGAAGTTATGATCAAGTGCAAACTTGGATTATGCTCTTCATCCGTAATAATGGATCTGTTGGTTACTTTAATTCATACATGGTATGAATATGGACAGATAATTAGAGCTATGCCCATCATTCATTATGTTAAGAAATTTTAAAATAATTATGAAACATTTTACAAATCTTGGATTTGTCTTCATTTCTGCTTTTTTGGTTATGTATGCTCATTAAAATATATATTTGGGTGTGTATCTATATAAAATGCAAGTGCATGCCCAGCTAGTGTGGCTCAGTGGTTGAGTATCAACCCATGGACTGAGAGGTAACTGGTTCTTTTCCCAGTCAGGGCACATGGCCCAGGTTGCAGGCTCAATCCCCATTAGGGGTGTGCAGGAGACGGCCAATTAATGTGTCTCTCTCATCGATGTTTCTATCTCTCTCTCTCTTCCTCTCTCTTGAAAAATGAATGAAAACATACTAAAAATAAATAAAATAAAATGCAGGTGCTCTCTACCCCCACCTTTCTGGGGTCACCATTGCCAGCCACTTGGTGAACATGAATATATTGCCTTCTGTTTGCATATATCAATCCACTTTGCTTTTTAAAAATGTAAACATTCTGCCCAGCCAGTGTGGCTCAGTGGTTGAGCATCGACCCATGTACCAAGGAGTCACCAGTTCAATTCCGGTCAGGGCACATGCCCAGGCTGTGGGCCCAGTCCCCAGTGGGGGGCTTGCAGGTGGTGGCCATTCACTGTTCTCTCTCATTGATGTTTCTATCTCCCTCCCTCTCCCTTCCTCTCTCTCTAAAACCAATAAAGAAAAACAAATTTTTTTTTTTCAAATGTGAACATTTTTCCCTGGCTGGTTTGGCTCAGTGGTTGGAGCACCAGCTCTCAGACCAAAGAGAGCTCAGGTTCGATTCCGGTCAAGAGCATGTACCTTGGTTATGGTTTGATCCCTGGCCCTGGTTGGGGTTATGTGGAGGCAACCAATTGATGTGTCTCTCTCACCCCCACCCCCCCACCCCTCCAGCCTTTCCACTCTATCAAGAAATCAATGGGAAAAATATCCTCAGGTGAGGATTAAAAAAAGAAAAAGCTAACATTCTATTCACACTCTTGTGCAACCTGCCATTTCACTTAGCACATTTTGTTGATCTTTATTTTTTACTTTCGTCTTTTTGAATCTCTTACCAGCATATTTTGGACATGTGACATGTCCAGTACACATAGATCTGTCTCACTGTTGACAGTGGCATCATTCCAGTGTGTAGCTTCCCAGCATTTATTTCATGGCTCCTCTAGTGATGGGCATATGGGGTTTCCACTGTATTGTGTTGCCACAGTGCCACATGTATATCCTCGCTCATCTCTGTGCCCTGCTGAGACACACTCTAGGACATATTCCTGGAAGTAGGGTTGTTAGGTCAAAGACTGGGGACATTTAAGCTTTTAATACATTGTTAACTTAGTTTGCCAAAAGAGGTTTTACCAATTTATGTTATTGCAATTATACAAAACTACTGCCTATTGTCTTAACCTACTGGCCAACCCTGTATTAATTTTTAAATGTTGCCAGTCCGCACAGCAAAAATAATTACATCATTGCTTTTTTTTGTTTTGTGTTTAGTGAGGTCTGGCAAATTTTCAGTTTATTGCATATTTGTATTTTTTCTTGGGGTCCTGTCCATTCTTGTCTCACCATTTTACTATTGAGTTTTCAATCTTTAATGATTTTCAGCCACCTTTTTATTTTAGGGAAATTAAACTTTGTCTTGAGTGGTAGATGTTTTCCTAGTTTTTCTTTACCAATTCACTTTTTCTTACTACTGCACAAAGTTTAATTTTAATGATACATTTCATTTTTATTTTAAGAAATATGGATATTATGTCAAGGCTAGAAAAGCTTTCCTCATCCTGTATTATAAATGTTTTTTTCCTGTTTCCTGTAGTGGCAGTTCTTGGGCAATAGGTTTTCTAAATTCTTGTAGGTCTCAAAATAGTTTGCCCTGCTCACACTGCCTGTGAGTGATTATGGTTACCTTAGAAGGTGAGTGGTGACAGGACTGTGGTGTGTGGGCTAGAGCCATGGAGACTGAGTGAATGGATGTGAGTGGAAGTGAAAGACTGAGTATACAGGAGAAGCCAGGTACAGTAGAGAGACTGTGCTGGTGTATGTGTGGGGCACATGCAAGCCATAGTTGGAAAAGAGGGGAAGGAGCTCTGAAAAAGGTTATGGTTGAAAGGGAGCAACTTCCACAAAGGCAGGGGACCAAGTAGGGGGGTGGGTGCTCCTAAAGGAGACAGGCAGGCCATGGGGAGGGAAGATGGAGCGCCAGTATTCCAGTTAAGTGATACCCTCTCTGACCCCAAAACAATAGTGATAGAGAAAACAGGAAATAATCATCTGAGCCAAAACAAGATGAATATTTCTGTGGACCAGCAATGGGACAAAAATGCAAAGTGGTAAGCGTGGCCAAAGCCAAAGCTCGGGTTCCGGTCCAGAAATGGAGTAGCTACAGGCTGTTAGGTTCTGTGGAGTAGAGGGGACTGGAAACCCTGTACACGAGGCCAGACGAAAGCCAGGCTCGCTGCAGGGAGGGAGCTGGACTGAACTTGGCCTGCACCCTGGCTGGACATGAGAGTAATGTTAAAACTTAGGCCCAGAAAGGCAGTGGGAGGACTTGACCTCCGTTCCCTTGCCACCCATAAGTGACACACAGTTCAATTGATTCTGTTTGCCTGGTGTGTGAATATCCCACCAGGCCTGGTTCTAGAATAACGACCAAAGGAGTGGGGAGCTGGATGGACTCAACTGCTAAACCCGTTTGTGGACTGTAGGGAGAGAAGAAATCAAATGCTGTTAAAGACTGCAAACAACATCAAAACAAATTCACCCCAGATAAAATTAATTTTATGGAATGGTCTGATAAGAGACTTTACGTATGTTTGGATACTCAAAACAGAAAGAAAATACATTTCACTAAAGAAGAGCAAGAACCCTGGCCAGTGTGGCTTGGCTAAACATTGTCCTGTGCGCTGAAATGTCACGGGTTCACTTTCCTGTCAGGGCACATGCTCAGGTTGCTGGTTCAGTCCCTGGTCAGGAGGAAACGGATTGATATTTTCTCTCACATCATTGTTTCCCTCTCTCTTCCTCTCTAAAATCAATAAAAAACTTCTTTTAAAAAGCAAGATATTTTTACACGAACAGTGTCATGCTGAAACTAATTAAGAGCTAACTGTTAGCCCTGGCCAGTTTGGCTCAGCGGTTAGAGTGTCGGCCTGCAGTCCGGAGAGACCTGGGTTTGGTTCCCGCTAAGGGCATGTACTTCGGTTTCGGTTTGTCTCCGGCCCTGGTTGGGTTGTGTGGGTGGCAGCCACTTGATGTGTCCCTTTCACGTCGATGTTTCTCTTTCTCTTCCTCCCACTCTATCTGAACAAAAATGGAAAAATGTCCTCAGGTGAGGATAAAAAAAAAAAAGAGCTAACTCTTAAATCACTGGTAGCTTAAAACTAGCCATGCTGGGAATGTTTATACCATAGAAATCAGATGCTACAAATCACAGTTTTTTGTTTTTGGAAAGACAGTTTACCAGCGAACCACGGACAGAAATAAAACAAGATTAGAAATTCTAGGAATGAGAAAGGCAGTCACTGAAATAGACTCAATAAATGAGAATCCTAGATTTCAATCATATTTATCTCTTGATTTAAGGACAAGAATAAAAATCACCTAAATTTCAGTAGATTCACACTTAATAAAACCTTTTTTCTTAAATATGGGATTTTTTTCCCTTTTTTTTTTTTTTTTCTTAGAGAGAGAGAGAAACTTCGATGTGAGGGAGAAACATTGATCAACTGCCTCCTATATGCTCCTGAGCCCAGAACCCAGACATGTCCTCTGATCAGGAATGGAACCGGTGACCTATTGGTACACAGGATGATGCTCAACCAACTGAGCCACAATGGCCAGGGCAAGGTGACTGATATTTTAAAAAGTATTTTCGCCCTGGCCGGTTTGGCTCAGCGGTTGGAGCGTCGGGCTGTGGTCCAGAGAGACCTGGGTTTGGTTCCCGCTAAGGGCATGTACCTTGGTTGCACTGGTTGGGTTGTGCAGGTGGCAACCACTCAATGTGTCCTTTTCTCGTCGATGTTTCTTTCTCTCTCTCTCTCTCCCTCTCTCTCCCTTCCACTCTATCTGAACAAAAAAAAGATATATATATATATGTATGTATATATTTAGCCCGGCTGGTGTAGCTCAGAGGTCAAGTGTTGACCCATGTACCAAGTGGTCACCTAGTTTGATTCCTGGTCAGGGCACATGCCCAGGTTGTGGGCCAAATCCCCAGTGAGGGGCATCCAGGGGG